TTTATCATATGACCTACGTAGAAGACCCTCAAAAATCGTAAAGTGTTTCTTTCTACTCCCTCTCTTGAAACTTAAGCTCTCTCCATGGAAACCCTCAAAGATTTCGTCTTTGCCCACCCTTCCTTCTTTGATCATAAAGAAACCTTGAGGGAAAGCATCCTAGTGAGGAAAAACTCCATCTTTGAACTTCGAAAATTATGTTTGAGTGTGAATGTGGGGCTACCATCTTGGTTTTGTGCATGTAATTCTTGGAATACCTATTTTTCATCATCAAGGAGCTTACTTTGTGGTTAAAGGACCCATCTTTACTTCGCAAAATCGTGTTTCTTGCGAGACAACATTGGAACAGAAGTAGGATGATTGGGGAGCTGCTGTTATGTCTGAGTTTGGGTATATGTCTCCACCTTTTTTCCTTGGAATTTCTTTAAAAAGGTTGAGTCTTGAACATGTTTAATGAGTCAAAATGATAGCTTAGTGGACTAGTAGTTAGAACATACATAAAAAGGGTAGCTTGAACCCCTATGAACCTTAAAAATGGTTGGTTTGCGAAAATTATGGTTTTTGGTCAAAATCTGGGTTCTGATGATGTTCTACCCGGGTACGCCTTGAACTCTACCTGGATACGTCCTACCCAAGTACATGAACCAACAACGAACATAGTTTGCTAAAAATTCAATATCTCGAGCTACAGAGCTACAAATTGAGTGCCGTTTGGACCTATGTGAAGCTAACACATAGGCTATAACCCTGAAAAATTTAGTAGCCTTTGGATAAGTGGTTTAATTGCAGTGTTAGTTTGAAGTTGCGACTTGGTTGCTGGAAATTCAGGTTGCAATAGTCACTTTGCGGAAAACATAGCCGGAGCTATACAACTCCAAATGAGACATGTAATATGTCGTTGGAAAGCTTATGATGTCTATTTAACATAATAAAATCTTAGAATTTTTGGTAAAGAGATGCAACTGAAGTTTTAAAAATGATAAATACGGTTTTGTGCTTGGGGTTTTTGGAAGAAGCCTGCAGTCACAAGACGAAAAAGAAAATGCAGTCCGAATGTCATGAAATTGTAGAATTTGATTATTAATGGTATGTTTGACATAAAACATATTGAACTTGCCATATTGTGTGACTGTGGGTGACCCCATTGATACTGAATTTGTGTTGGAGGACTATACCGATACAGGTAAGCTTATGGTCTACGGATTTATCCACTGTTTGTTCCACCAAACTCTATAGGAGGATGATTTGATGTGCATGGTATGCTTTTTCTGAAAATGTTCATGCGTTGATACTTATCTGATATATATGGATATGCTTGTTGATGTAATGTATGGATGTGATGTTGATTACATACATAATCAGGCTGCAACCCTGAAGTGTAAGACATAAGGCAACGACCCTTATGTTTTGATAGGTTGCAGACATTCATAATGCCTATATTATTCTATGGCCAGTTGAACCGCACTTGCTTACATCACATGATATATACTGAGATATATGATTATATGAGGATCATAATATTTTACCGAGATGATATTGAATTGTTATTGCCATGCATTTTATTATTTGGTAATACTTATTATATACCTATAAGTGAGCTCGAGGCATAAAAGTCCTTGAGGACCCATTGTCTTATTGAGATTTCTATTAGAGATCTCATCCGTTTTGGGGCACATTTTTCTAGTACTGAGATTATTGATGTTGATGCATCTAATGGCAAGAGACCGACATTGAGATTATAGCATGCCATAAGACATGCTTTGCTATGATATGTTATTTATATATTCTTATGAGGCATGATTGCCATTTGACATGTTATGTTATGTTTGTATTTATGAGGAGCGTAGGGGTTGTCTATGCCTCCTTGATCAAACATGTTATTTTGATCAGAGAACATGTATAAGTTATGCTATTGAGTATTTGTAGTTGGTCATATGATGTAATGATATGATTAATCATGTTAGTTATTATTGTGTAATATGATTTGTATATGAGACGGCCTAAGTAATTGCTAGAGGCCAAGGATGTAAGTAAGATGATAGCTTGGATAACAAGAAATGTATGTTTTGAGTGAGTGATTAAGGTTTATAAGAATCAATCCTATTAACTAAACATAAATGAATTTATGTAGAGAAAAGATGTATGTTAAAAAGAATTGTAATGCCATAGTTTCACGTGTGTAAATGTAAAGAATGAAGTAGGCATAATGGAGTAATCATTGGCTAATAGGAGAAATTAAACTTAAGGACGTCTTCTTTTAAGACATAGATCATGAAATGTGTAAGTAAACATATATGTAAATTGTAAGTAAGAAAGTTGATTAAATCAAGTATAACGTGCAATAAACTTGACATGCAAGTAATGATTACAACTTAAAGAAAAATAGAAAAAGTTTATCCACGTTTTTAGATGAGTTTAATTAGAAATTAATATGATTAGCTTCCTCATATATTTGAATAATTAGCTTCGCTTCTGATGTTAACAAATCAGGTATACATAGGGTGTTATAGCAACCCTGTCATCTTCTGCACCATTCCCCACTATCACCCTGCAACACTTTTTATTTTGTTATTTAAGTGGCCTTTTCAGTTCACTTCGCTATTGTGTGCGTGAAATTTGGATTACTTTTCTTAGTGTGGGAAATTAGATTCACTTTGAGCTGTGGTTAAGCATGTGACAATCCTGATTGGATGAGTTGCAAGCCACTATACAATGTACGTAGTCCAAGTTCCCTTTGAATACCATTTTTACATTACCAGCTTCCTTCAAACATTAACACATTACTCCAATATCAACACAAATATAACTATAAGTTTTCCCTTCTTTTACAGAAATATATAGAGGACGATTAGAGAACCAAAACTAGAGTAACAAATGAATTGTTGATACTGTATGATAAGCTACAAACTTCCTACACATGCTTAGATTGTTAGAAGAATCCCCTTTTCTCACAGGTTTCAAGTCAGGGAAAAACCACAAAACATTGACTTCAAAAGTTTTAAATCATTAAATAAACAACAATTGTAAGCATCTAAGTGTATCTCCAAATCACTTTAAGGCGGAGCGGGTTGAGCTGCCTCGTCGCCTGGCTGAGCTCATTTTGCTGGCCCTAAATGCAGGAATGATTTGGTTCAAAATTTGGGGTTGTTAGTTTTGGCCAGATTGGAACAAATTTGGTGTAAATTGATTTATGGATTTATTTATATATTTGAATTTATTTAGTTAGGGTTTTGATAGTTTGTAATCAATTTTTAATACTCTTATTTTTAGAAGCTTTCCTTATTTTTAGGAGGTAATTATTCATATATTTATTTAATATTTATCATTATCTTTACGAGGTGTGATTTCTACTTTGGATAGTAATTAGCTTAATTATAGGTAAATAATATCAATATAAATGATATCTAGAGTTATATTCATAAATTTAAGAGTTTTATCTTTGGTTGATTCAAAAATTAATGAATTTATCGAAAGGATTTTATAAAAGTTATGTTGTAGGAAAAATGATTGTGTAATGTTACAGATATTCGTTTTGTGTGCCTTAATTTTTTTTTCTTCAAAAAATGCAGGGCCCACAAAATATTGTATGTGTGGAAATTTTTGTGTGTCATGTAACATAATAGATGTAAACCCCTTATCGAAATTACTTAGTGACTTTCTCCCATTGAATTTTTAAACTGACTTTCTCTACTGTTTGTGACAACTTCAATTATATCAAGGTTTATCCCTTAATATAGATAATAGGCTAATAGGTTCCCATCTAAATGTGAAAAACTCGAATCCTTTTTCTTATTTTATTGATGAATCTCCTTATTCTCTACAAGATTTATAACATCTTTAATGTTGTGACTTTTCTTATTTTATGTTATTTATTATTTAAATGCATATGTATCCCGATTTTAGTTGAAGTTAAGCCTATGAATATCTTAATATTGTGAATTCTTCTATTTTACTTAATTTATAACTCAAGCATACAAATTTTTAATTTTAGCTTAACTTAATTTTATTTATGTATTAGCAATCCCAAGTAAGATAGGTATAATCAATCTCTATTCCGAGTGTTCATCAATCGATTTAAATCGCGGTAATTGAACTAAAAACTGATAATCGAATTAATCGAAAAACCAAAAAAAAAATCTGCATATTTTAATTGGATTTAATCGGTTTCAGTTTGGTTGGTAAAAAACCGATTCGATGCAAACCAATATAATATATTATGTATTTATTATTTTCGAAAGATGATGACTTAGAATTTTGTTGTTCTGTAGACTTTGAATTTGGGATGTTATTGATAGCAAACTATCTTGTTTTAATTTTTTTATTATCTATTCATCTATTTAAACTATTCACGAGTTTTAAGACTTGAATTTTTCAGTGGTTTGTAACTTTGAATGACTTTATTTTGATATAGCTAGTGATTTGTATGACTGAAATTTTAAACTTTTCGAAAAACCGAAAATCGATCCAATCTAATCCAAACCGAATAAAATTGATTTAAATTGGATCAGATTTTAAAAAATTCCAAATCGAATGAATGATTAAATGATCAAAATGAAAGGATTGAATCATATAACTTTTACTTTAAAATTAATCAAATCCAAACCGTAAACATTTTAAATTCTACTTTCACACAGTTGGAAAGTTTTATACACCGAAGTTTTTTAAAATTTTAACTCGAGTATATAAATATCTATATCTTATTTTATTGTTTTTTTTTTTTCTAATTTTGAATTTGTTAGAAAGAGAAAGACATAATTTTTATTGTACAAGGACTACAATGATTAATTATATGATTTGTTAATTTATGAAAAAACTGAAGTAGATTCTAGAAGAGGAGAGGATGTACATAGTAAAAACGTTACTCCTCCTAAATCCTGAGAATATATATAAAATATTCTAAACCCAATTTATTAATCTTAAAAACCCTAACAAATAAATGAAGCCATGTTTGTGTAAGTCCATTTTAATAAAAATCAGGTCCGCTTTTGGTTCCTTGCTCTTTGAGTTCACACTCACTGCCTAACTCTCTCTCTCTCTCTCTCTCTCTACACAAACGCACACAGAGAGACATATACACAGTGAAACTCTCATCTCATCAATCATCATCATCTCTCTCTTCTTTTCAAGTCATTGAATCCTAAAACAACCTGCATTTCGCGCTTGATCCGCCGCCGCTATGGATTCTCGGGAACCACCGTCCCGGCCACCACCGCCGCCGACCATGATGGCAGGACCCACCTCGTACGCTTCGACAAACTCCTCCCCGACCTTGATCAGCCCTAATTCCACCATGTTGGCCCCCGCTACGGCCCGATTCCCCTTCGGCTCCGTCGCGCCGCAGCCACCACCGCCTCCTCCGTCGGAGGCCTTCAACACCACCGCCAGCCCCTACGATGGGCCCTCGTCGCCGTTGAAGCCGTGCGGGCTCTCCAAGAAGAAGCGCGGCCGGCCCAGGAAATACTCGCCGGACGGTAACATTGCTCTGGGCTTGGCTCCGACGCACGTGTCATCTTCCGGCGGAGGCGGCGGAGATTCGGGCGGCACGCCGTCTGCGGACGCTCCGGCAAAGAAGCATAGAGGAAGGCCTCCGGGCTCTGGAAAGAAGCAATTGGATGCGCTTGGTACTTCTTGTTATTGTTGTTGTTTTTGGGTTATGATTCTTTCGGTTTATTTGAATTGAATTGGTTCTGATTGTTTGTTTTGTTGTTCTTTCTTGTGATGTGAAGGAATTGGTGGGGTTGGATTCACTCCTCACGTAATCTTGGTGGACCCTGGCGAGGTAATGCTTCCTCTTGGCTGCAATGTATTGAATTGCTGAATTATATGGCTGCTAAATTTAGTTGCATTAGTTTATTGGTAATTTCTGTGCCTGAATCTTTGAAATAACAATTTGATGCTGTTAGTGTTATATGTATGTACATTCATTATTAATGAATACGATCAGAAAGATTTGAACTTTAACATGGTGTTATTGCTTTTGGTTGTAACTTATCCATTTTAAAAGACTGTCTTGCGATGATTATTGTCTTGTGATTTCTTTCTTTAAATGTTTTTTATATTGTTTTAGGAGTTGGCACTAATTCCAATGCTGTTGCTCTATGCGGTAATTTCAGGGGTTCTTAATCTTTTTGGTGATGAAAGTAGAATGTTAAATCAGTAATGCACACCTAGTCATGCCAGATAGATAATGATAATCATCAAATTGAGTATTAAATTAGATCTTTATTTAGACAAGAAATGTGATTTTCACTTTTCAATGTAAATGTTAATTCGATATAATGTTCCATAGCTCAAGAAGATTGCCTTTGTTACATGTGAAATTGCTACCAGTTGCTCATTCAATGCTTTTGTATTATAGCGTGTGCTCTTAATAAATTATCCGTCTTCAAGTTTATCAAATTCTCTTATAAATGTTGGTGTGAAGTGTGATTGAATTTTGGATATCTCATTTAATCAATTTACGAATTTATGAGATGTATCTCATTATTGTTTGAGTACTGTGTGTTTAAGACTATAAACTTCTTATTACATTGTTGCATGGGTTTGAATATATATCTTATTGTATATCTTGTCCCACTCAAAAGGAAAGAAGTAATTATGGCATTAACCTACATTTTTTGGTCAAGCTTCACTTGGTAGTTGGTTTTGCACCGAAATGAAGCAAAAAAATTGGCTTTTTTTTACCAAGTCACTATTTGACGTGGAAACATCATGTTGGGTGCATGTGATTTTATATATACATCTTTTTGTTTCAAAGTATTCTTTTTTAAGTTTCTATTGGCAGTGTTGGTGTGCGTTACTATTGTTACAAATCCTTCTCACCTGTATTCTTCTGTTGTTTGTAGGATATTACCGAAAAAATCATGGCCTTTTCTCAGCAAGGGCCTCGGACAGTTTGTATTCTTTCTGCTAATGGTGCAATCCGCAATGTCACCCTTCGACAGCCAGCATTGTCTGGTGGTACTGCAACATTCGAGGTACTTTTGTATTCATTTGGAATCTAGTCAGTATCTAGTTATCCATTATATCAAGCTTTTTCTTTATGCTATATTGGAAATGATCTGGTAGTACATGGTTGCTTGACATGCATATTGCTAAAAGTTCAGCTTGTCAATGGGGACATGAAACTACATGCATTATTATTTTCCAGCATGTAATAGAAAATTTCAATATTTTCATCTACAAATATAACTCTGCTTTTGAACATTAAATATATTGCAAATATTTTGTTTAATTATTGGATTGCCATGATTTTTTTCCTTGTTTATTTTGTTATTGAAACAGGAAAACTGTGTACTTTTTGAAATGCTAGCCAGAAATTGTTTATTTATTCCATATGCATTTGATTTAATCTAATTTCTTGCATGGTTTATTATTATTATTATTGTTATTATTATTATTGCTATTATTATTATTTTGTTAACAGCTTTGTAAGCATAGTAGAGATATTGGAGAATGTAACTATTTAGGGAAATCCACTTTCGGAATTGTTATTGACAGAAAAGGCCTACTGAATTTGCATTCTTAGCTTATTGCTGAAATTCTTCTACACTATTCTGCTTCAATTGTGTGCATGAACAGTGGCAAAAACCTTCAATTGATTTGAAAATTGTTGGATGGATATTTGCTCTATCAGATTAGTACAATAGTACATTGTGAAATTGTTGCGTCTTTCTTTCTTTCTTTCTTTTCTTTTCTTTTTTCTTTTTTCTTTTTTTAAGACTAATTTAATATGGAAAACAAGGTGCTTTAGAAGTTCTTTTTCTATTATTGTTGATGGAACTGGATCTTGTGTTAAGCATGCCATAGCCTGATACGGATATTGTGCAGAGATAATCTGGCCTTGCATTGCAACGAACTTTGCATAATAGGAGGTGCTTGTTACGTAGATTATATTTGTTGCATTTAAAGTTTGTGTCTTTCAGTGCGTAGCCTCTCTATCCACATTTCCTGCTAGTCTCAGATTGATCTTAGTCCTACAACTATGGATCTGTCTGCTGATATTATTTAGGATTTCAAATATCCAGATTGTTAAGTATTGTAATCGTTTTTTAGGAATTTTTCATGGTTGCTTTGGAATCTTTTAGGGTGGCATTTGTTATGTTGGAGTGATAGCATGGAATCTTTTTCTGTTATTGTTGATGGAACTGGATCTTGTGTTAAAGCATGCCATAACCTGAAGGGATATTGTGTAGAGATAATTTGGCCTTGCAATGCAAAGAACTTTGCATAATCGGAGGTGCTTGTATCCAATATCTGGAGTTTCTGTTTGTATATTATATGGATGATCCGATCCGCGGGAGCATTATGGCATTAAGATTTCCAAGGTTTACGTATATTTCTTGCTCATTATCAGACAATCACTTATTCACAAACCCCATGTGGGGTTATTGTTTGATTTAAAGTTTGTGTCTTTCAGTGCATACCCTCTCTATCCACATTTCCTGCCAGTCTCAGATTGATCCTACAACTATGGATCTGTGTCTGCTGATATTATTTAGGATTTCAAATATCTAGATTGTTAAGTATTGTAATCGTTTTTTAGGAATTTTTCGTGGTTGCTTTGGAATCTTTTAGTGTGGCATTTATTATGTTGGAGTGATAGCTTGGTGACCACAAGAATTAAATGTAATTGATTGAAGGGCCAAATTGAGACAAACATAATCCAAATGACCGATTATGTTGGTGACCACAAGAATTCTTTTAGCGTGACTATATAGTTAAATATCAATGTCTTTCGATTCATTCTCTTCACATGATGTCATTTTAAATTGCAGGGCCGATTTGAGATTATATCCTTATCAGGTGCTTTGCAGCTATCTGAAAATAATGGTGAACGCAGTAGAACAAGCGGTCTGAGTGTGTCTGTGGCAGGATCTGATGGACGAGTTTTGGGTGGTGGAGTTGCTGGAATGCTAACTGCGGCATCATCTGTACAGGTATTGCTCTCAAATGGTATAAAATTTATGTCAATTGAACAATTGGCTTGTGATGCAATTTACCCATATAGATGTTCCAAGTGCACAAGGTATATAGAAATTCTTGGATATTACTGTTGGGAAGTATTTTATGCATGTAGGATTGACCAAACTTTGATGCTTTATTTTAGTGACTTTTTCCAATCATTAATAGGTCATTGTGGGTAGCTTTATTGCAAATGCAAAAAAGTCAAGCTCGAATATGCTGAAATCTGGGCCTTCTTCAGCACCAACATCCCAAATGTTAACCTTCGGTGCACCTATGACTCCAACGAGTCCTACCTCTCAAGGGCATTCTACTGAGTCCTCTGAGGACAATGATCATAGCCCATTTAGTGCGGGTGGACTCTACAATAATGCTAGTCAGCCTGTTCATAATATGCAGATGTACCATCATCCACTATGGGCTGGCCAAACTCGTCAGTGAAGATGTGACTCTGGATTAACAGTGCAGAAGCAGGGTATTTGCATGGTGATTGTTCAAAGTAGTGGCTAGAGTCAATTTTAAAGTGCTAACTTGCGTTATTGAGGACTGACTTTAGAGCAGTCTATTTAAGGTTTAAGTCTGTCTCTCCATTTGTCATTTGATTAGGATTTTTCTTCTTTTAATCGTTTCGTAACTTTCTAGTGATGATAGCCAAGGATATGCTACCCATTACCCGAATTCTGTGATTTTGAAGTTTGCTATCTGCACTTTGCAGTAGCATAGCATAATCAGGAACAGTGATTTCCCTCCTTCATCATGCTTTATTGTTTATTTAATTCTTTGAGCATTCTAAGGATTTGGTTCCCTTGCATTTATAAGCCGTGAGTTGTGTTCCTTTCATCTGAGCTGCATATTCATACATTTTTTAAAATTTCATCCACGGTTACCTTCTTCCCGCGTCAGCAATGCATGTCTCTCATAGGCACATTCTTACTCTTGAATCAACAAAAGATGAGTAATTCTACGTCGTCATCTTAAACAATTCTTCAATAACCCTCATCATTTTATTAATTGGCGGAAGTGTTAAATGTTTTTTGCGCTGTCAAGATATTAAATGTATTTATTTCTTCATTTGATATTTTTTTACCGAAGTGTGTGTATATTTATATATCTCGAAGCCGCCATGGAGAGTATCTTTCGCGTATGTTTGTTTTTGGAAGCTTTGAAATTTTGAAATGTTAGCAGGTAAATTTCGTTGTCATTTGTCATTTATTAACTGGTTTTTTCCACTCAAAATGTCCCATTATTTAAAAGCATGGTGTGTTGTACATGAGACGTTGAAACTTGCGTGTTGGAGTTGAACGCATGGACCAACTCGCCAAAAGCATGTTTCACAGCCCATCAACTGAATTATAACTATTATTTGATATGTACCGTTATCTTTTAATCACACCTCAGCCTCACTCTAATTCCAACTTTTCAAGGCCTGCTTCACCTTCCATATTCAACCCTAACACAACAATACTCGGTTAAATCTTCAATACTTTCATAGTGCATATTCTTTAAAGAGGACACGTGACATTAGACTAAATGTAATTGAGTTATTTTATTTTAAAATTTTAATAGATGATGTGAGTTGTTATAATTAGATTTTGGGATAATCGACTCTCCTATACAATAAGAGACAAAATACACAACATATGGTGGGAGGGACACATCCCTTATAAAAAAAGAAGCAATTGCACGAATTTCGATGGATTAGCGGCAGAAAAAATAACTTTCCAAGGAGAGTTGTTTTTCCCTTTAGTTTTTAGTTTTTAGAGGGAAAAAATAATTTTCATATATTATCGTAGTAAATTTGTCTTGACTTTGTAGCAAATTTTTTTTTTGCCTTGACTTATTAACAAGAAATATGAGTCTTTTTTGAATTTGTAAGGGATCACGATTTCAACTAAATGCATCCATTTTAAATTTTCTAGGGACCGCGAATAGCCTTTTTATTTGCTAGGGACTAAAGTGGACATCGTGAAATTTGCCGAGGACCAAAAAGACTCTAATTTTAAAAACTATAACTTGATTTTAGTTTTTAAAACAAAAAATTAGGGAACAACTAAATGTTATTTTGGGTGTGTTTGAAAGTGTTTTAGTTATTTTGTTTTCAAATACTGTTTTAAATATGAATTTTAAAAACTAATTTTGAGAGTAAAAAACAAAAAAACTTGTTTGAGTGTAGTTAAATTAAAGTTATAAAGAAGTTGTAATTATTTACAAAAATGCCATTAATGAAATTTTAGAATTACAAAAATGCCATCTAATATTTACGAAACTGCCATTAATAAAATTTTAGAATTACAAGAATGCCATCTAATATTTACGAAACTGCCATTAATGAATGCTGATAATTACGATTTTGCCACCGCTTAAAAAAAATCGCAAACAGCGCTGGAGAACATCCTTAAGTTGTTTTGGTTTTCTGGTTTAAAAACAAAAAAAGAGTCATTGTTTTGGAAAGCATTTTGCAAAACAATGATTCCCAAACAGATTTTTTTATTTTTTTGTTTTAAAAACTTAAAAACTGTTTTTAAGAACAAGAATCAAATAGACCCTTTGATTCTCCTTTTCAGTTTTTTGTTCTCAAAACAAGCAAAAACACATAGAATAGCTATTCTCATTAATGATAGTTGAATATTGGTGTATCATTATTCTATAATATATGTGAATTGTATTGAGTTAGAGCTTGATAACGGGAAAAGAATAACCCTCTGAAGCTAGTGAACGAGAAAGGATTCGCTCACTGTCTCTTCCTTATATGCAAGGTTTAGCTTCCTAAACCTTAAAGTATCATGTAGTTTTGATTTAGCATCTAACAAAACAACTTTGATTTATTTTTCTTCGATCCATTTTGTTCACTTTTTTCTTGGGTTGTTCCTTTACAACTGGTTGTGTGTTCTGTAAGAGTTGATGAATGGAAGAAAGGGGATCTGCTTGGAAGTGATGATCCTCAAGAATGGCAGACCACCGTTCTTTGTTGTCTATTTGTGGGGATCTACTTTCAATTTTCTTTGTTGTTTGTTCTTTTTCTGATAGAAGACAAAACATCTTCAGCCTTCAGAAAACCATGAACACTAATATGTTTTACGTATAAAGTAAGAGTGACATATATCTCTAAAAAATCTTGATTTAATCAGTACAACAAGCATCAATCATATCATCAGGGGATCCTACATAAAAATTTGTGTTTGTACTAAAAAAATAAAAGTCTATGTGCTTTTTTTTTATCTCAAACAATTAGCATCTAACAAGACAACTTTGATTTCGTTTTCTTGGATCCATTTTGTTCACTTTTTTCTTGGGTTGTTCCTTTACAATCAGTTATGTGTTTTGTAAGAGTTGATGAATGGAAGAAAGGGGATATGCTTGGAAATGATGATCCTCAAGAATGGCATACCACCGTTCTTTGTTGTCTGTTTGTGGGGATCTGCTTTCAATTTTCTTTGTTGTTTGTTCTTTTTCTGATAGAAGACAAAACATTTTCAGCCTTCAGAAAACCATGAACACTAATATGTTTTACATATAAAGTTAGAGTGACATATATCTCTACAAAATCTTGATTTAATCAGTACAACAAGCATCAATCATATCATCAGGGGATCCTAAATAATTTTTTTTGTTGTGTACTAAAAAATAAAAATAAAAATATGTGTACAAAATAATACATGTGCTTTTGAATCAAAGTCTATGTGCTTTTTTTTTTATCTCAAACAATCTCTTTGTGACTTTTGGGTTTTTGTTCATTTGTTATTTCAGGTTGGACCTACTTCGTGGGGCAATATTATCATGTGCTTCAGAATCAACTAGATTTTGTGCACCATGGTTCTATTATGATGCTAGCACAATGCTCCCTATTAAGGGCAATGCTAGAGAGACAACCAGTGCAATGCTTGTAATTTCTTTTGTTTTCATAATTCTATTAAATCCTTTTTTTCTCAGTTTAGATTAATACAATTGTGTTTTTGATGATATTTGATATTACTGATTTCTGTGTGACTTGAATTGGATATGAACTATGAATAGGGTTGTTATGAGTTTGTAGATTTTGTAGTGTGCTTCTTCTTATTGTATTGACCAAAAGGAATGATGTTTCAAAAGTGGTGGAAAAAACAAAAATCTTTTGATTGAGAAGTTTCAATAAGGTTCGTATAGAGTGAGTGAATGTGTGAGATCTTTGATTTAGAAAAAAATTGAAGACAGAGCAATGAAATAACCAAATAGGATGCATAAACTGAGTGGGTAGGTGATTATGTGAAGACCTTGTTTCAAAAGAATGAAAATGGGGCAATGAGATAGTTAAATAGGGTGGATTCAGTCTCCTTTAGTTTCTTTTCATTTAGTAATTTAAGTTTATTTGACTTTTCAATTTCTTTTGATCATTGATGAAAGAAATGCAGAAAAGGAAAAAATTACTGAATCATTGAATCTTCGGTGATATAGAATTGCACCAATTCATGCATGTATCAACACAATTTAAAGTTATTCATCACATGATACAAATTACAGGCGTGCCAAATCATACTGAACCATGGGATTCAATTCGTGAATAATGTGATTCTAACAACTATGGTAAACTAAACATTTGGAATATGAATTCAATCTGTCTAGGATGCTTCTAGTCTATAATCTTTAGATGGTACTTATACCCTCTTTGCATTCTATTAAAAACTTTATTTGTCAGAGTTAAAATGATAAGCTATTCTTTCTGCTTATTTAGATTCCTTACATTTTAATACCTCTTAATAGATTTAAGGGACTAATTTATGCATGTACAATTATAGTAAACTTATTTAAATTTTTTACCTTGAAATTAGAGAGCTCTACATTGTGCTCCTCAAGAAAGCTTATAAATTCTTTGAAGTTATCTTCTGTTTGGTGATAATTGGTGTTGTATGGCCAAATAGCTTGCAATATTTGTATAACACTTTGTGTAAACGAAATTGCTTTTACACAAATGGTAGCTCCATGATTCTCTTTAAGCTCCATGATTCTCTTTCCTCTGCCTTCTTTGATGAAAAAATATAAAAATTGTTGTAGGATATTGTGAATCTTTTCTAAGTCTATTTACTAATATACTTGAGTTGGCTACCTACTTTCAATGCTTGTTCATATGATGGATGGAAACTAATGCTGAAAAAAATGATGCAAAGGTTTGGTTTGATTCAATAATTAAGGCTTTCATTCATATTATGGTTGATGAGGTCACCAAAGAAAATATGCAGAATGGTGTTTTTCACTCTAGAATATAGAATTCCATAAAATATAAACTGAATTCCATAACTAATTGGTCTTTTAGTTTCAAGCAAATAAAACAAAAGTTCAATAGACTACAAACTAAGCATTGTGAGTTCTCTTTACTCTTGCAACACACTGGATTTGGTTGTGATGTAGAAACTAACACTGTCACTACTAGTGAAGAAGTCTGGCAGTCTTACATTCAGGTATATTTAATATTTTGTTTGTAAGGTTATGGTTTTACTTATTTGTCATTATTTTTAAGTATCATTTGACTATAATATGATCTACTTATATTTTGTCAACATTTTACTATTTTAGGCAGTGTTGAAAAAACCGGACCGGCCCGGCTGGGTCGACCCGGAAACCGGTGAACCGGTCATGTGACCGGTCCAGTTTTCATGTTGGATCGGTTAAGTAGTAGACCCGGTGCAACCCAGTGCAACCCGGTGTGACTCGACCGATTTTTGAGATAATCAGTGTCCCGATCGGTTTGGATTTGAACCGGTTGAGTCATG